CATGGTATAAAACTTCTTAAATCGACGAACTTCGACATAAATATAATTTTAGTGCCATAAGTCCATTTGTCCATTTATGTGGGCTGGAATTTTCTTATCACTTCTTCACCGAATCAAATAGTTTTACAACCTGATAAATGCCAGTAAGATCAATAACTTATAGGGATGCCGCATCTAGGGTGCGATAATTTTAAGTTATGATTATCAATATTGATCTGATGTATTTGACATGCAGTCTTAGGTGAACTTTTCCTGAACTGTTTCGTCCTTTTCTTGAACAGTGAAACACGCAGCTGCAAAAATGCAGGAAACACGTGATAATGTGGTGTTCAGATCTATTTAGACATAGGTGTGTCGCTATGTATAAACCAGGGGCGTCGGTAGGGCATTTTGAATCGGGGGTTGGGGCGGACGTCGGTCCAATCTATTTCGTTAGCCGAAGTAGTCAACAAGTAACAACAACAACAAACAAACAACAAATCAGATTTTCACATTTTTTACAGAATTAAAAAGGAAAATCCCCCAAAACCCCAAAAGAGGATAAAGAACGAACAAAATATAATTCAATTTTTTGCAATTTATCTCACCAAGGCTCGATAAAATTCAATGGGAGGGGGGGGGGGGCACACCCCATGTTTTCCTCCACAGCGTCACTGTCTATAAGACAGAGCAATGACTGTTCTTGCTATTGTTGATTGTTTCATGTTTCCTATTTTTGACTAGGCGAATACGTAGGTTACTCATTATTTTGTGGTCGGTTGGCAATTACGCAGTTTCCAGTATATTATTTCATGTTCTATTTGGATTTCGATGTTTTGTTGTATTTTTAGGCATATGTAGTTGAAATAGAAACAGACAAACGATATGAACAACGTAATTGATAAATTTTCTTAAGGAATTTTATTGCCGACATTCCTTTGATAATTTGTTTTTGATTTTCATGTGCTAACAAAATAAAGATGCCCATATCCAGGGATTTCAGCTTTCAAACAGTAACGAATTTCTTACCGTTTGTCTGTTTCTTGTACAACTACAAATTTGATCTTTCAATGTTCTGCTGTCTTTTCAGCTCGAAATTAAGTTTGGAAATCATGGATTCATTTCGCTTTTATTTTTGTTCCTTTTTTAAAATTTTAGATTGAGCAGAATAATTGTAGTACCACAGGTTCGCCTATAGCCAATATTACATGAGAGTAGGAAGCCGTTAACGTTTTAACCTCGATTAAGAGGCTAACATAGAATATCTGCCAAAAGAGAGATTTTCATTTATTATCCCCTAGAAAGTGTGAAGAAAAAAATGGTTGCGAATGGTAATAACTGGATGGGCAGGAAATAATGGATAAAGTAAGTAGAGTGGAAACAGGAACAACGATAATTATGTCTAGGATAATTCTTGTCTCTTCTATAAATATCCTTTCTCTGGTTCCACTTCTCCTCTCCCCTGCCCCCTCCCATCATTTCCCTTATACTTCCCGTGTCTGCAGCTGTATGTTCTGACATTATTTAAACATTCGCTGCCCCTCAAAAAATCCCTTCCCCTTTCGTTAAGGCTTGAGCAACCTCGCCATGATATAATCAACCGATAAGTGGTAAACAAGCTTGTTACATAATTTGCACGAATGGTATCAACTGGCAGAGAAGTGATTCGGTGGAATTGTATGATAAACTTTAATTGAATTGAAAAGGTTTATTCATTGAAAAAAGAAGAAATGTAGAAGGAAAAAGAGAGTTGATATAGTCTAACAAAGCCTGAAGAAAATTAATCACACACATGCAATCGTGAAATCTTGAAAATGTTTAAGCCTTGGATTGGATCAAAGTGCAGACCAGGTAGTTATTGCACGTGTTTTGTTTACCATAAAGAGTTGATTTGAACATGGTGGATACGCCACTGCTCCATCACCCCACCACCACCACCACCACCAACACCACCACCACCACCACCACCACCATCAACACCACCATCACCACCACCACCACCACCATCAACACCTCCACCACCACCACCACCACCACCACCACCACCACCACCACCACCATCAACACCACCACCACCATCACCTCCACCACCACCACCACCACCACCTCCACCACCACCACCTCCTCCACCACCACCAACACCAACTCAATAATTGCAGATCATCTACATCAGTACCCATTTTTGTATGCATGGGGCATGTTTTCTTAATCTTCATGTTCGCAATTCACTTTAAGATTCACTCACAAGAACCAAGACAAATGTATTCTATGGTGAATTATAAATTGGGAAAAGAAACCTACTTATTATTGACAAAGGTTAATACTTTGTTTTCTTCAATTCAACATGGATGCGAAAGTTATTGAGATGCATTTTACAATGCGTGTTTGCCACATGCCCCAGACAGCAACACAGTGTGAACATGAGATGTGACAAATGAAGGAAAAAAATTACTTGAATAAAAGTTAGTTTGTATTGCTATTTTATAAAAACTGAACGCATCGTGTACATCTTTTGTATTGCCTTACATTTTGCCAAAATGCTAAAGACACAAAAAGAAATTCGGTTCAGAAAGGACAATAGACTGCAATGTTACGTGCGTGTGTGTGTGTATGTGTATGCGTGTTTTTTTTGCCAACCATTTTTCGTGAGTTTTTCGAAATTAGCAAGTGCTCACTTGAGCGTAAAGGATTGTCGTTATATTTAGTGCCATACGATTGAATATAGACCATCACCCGTAATTTCATTAGAAAAATATCGCGAATAAGATGACAGAGGATACTTTCAAAGGGTGTACTTTTTTATACCCACAGTAGATCTCATTCGTTTCGTTTACAAAAACACCACAAAATCACCTTCCCTATTTACGTCAGAGACTATAATCAAATCATGATCTCGATGAAAACATATTGTTATCATTCCAAGGATTGAAATATTTACTCTAACAAATTTAGTGTTTGAAAGTGCTTGCGTTTTTTCCTCCCTCCCTCTTTCCCTTTCTCTGTATTATCTTCCCTCTCTCTTCCTCTTTGTTTCAATTTTTCTTCCCATATCTTTCTTGCTATTTCTCTGTTTCTTTCTTTTCCTCTTTTTTCTTCCATCTCTCTGTTTTCCTGTCTAGGTTTGTATCTCTCTTGATCTCTCTCTCTCTCAAGAAATCGAATGTCATATATAAGATGAGATGAACTATTGAACTTCGATCTAGGTCTTGTATTATGGGGAATTTGAGTCGTTTATAATTATATAATTAAACAGTGTTATCACACTCTTATCACATTCTAAAGTGTGCTGAGAAGAATAAAATGGCAGGTCGCCAAGACAGATACAAAGCTTGCTACTACCACTACCAAGACCTCTTCAAAACCATCCCCTGATTCGAACCAGAATTATGTTCCATGTATTCTGCTATACGATGGGTCTATTAAGTCGTATTCAACAACAGAAAGATAGAGCTCTTTTTACGTTAAAAATCTACTTTAGACCGAGCTTGAAAAAAAAGCGAAGGGTTGAAGTTTTAGTAATCAGTTCCTCCGGGCCCCGTCTTACAAAGAGTTGATATCAATCGCAACTTATTTCTGATTAATATCAATCGCAACTATGTACATAAGAGATAAGAGACTGCAAACTTGCGATTGATTGGAGGACTTGCGATTGATTTGGATCAATCGTAAGTCTTTGTAAGACGGGGCCCTGCTATATACGGTCTAAGTCTAAGACTTCACCACCAAATTCTTACCACGCTGAGCTATCCCGATCGGTATGGACAGCAAAATCTTATCGTGGATATCATTAAAAAATGACAATATCCTGTCCAAATGGCATTTGAGATCCCTCACCCCGTGTACAGCTAAAGGTCATCTCAATTTGCATGAAATCACACTCACTATGAAGTACTAGACTTGACCAAGTAAGGCTAGTACTGATCGAAGCAGGGCAAATAAAACCTGGTATGGACGCAACATCTGTGACAATAGTCACAGAATACGTCGAGTTAAAGTTCTGTAGGGTTCAGTAAGCAAAGGGAATGAATTTGTGAGATAAAGAGATTCAAAAGGTAAAAGGGCGAACTTAATTTTCATGACGATTGCATAGAAGTGATAAATGGGTAACCCATAGAAAATGAACAAAGAGAAACGTGTTGCTTTTCATTCAGCACGCCCCGGATCTGTGCTCATTGCAAACGCTGCGCATGTTATTTTGTTTGAATACTATATACAAATTGATGTTTAACTTTTTATTTGTTTCAACAACAACAACAAATACAAAACAAAAACAAAACAAAAAACGGTATAATGTGACAAAGATAATTCGTTTTGGAATAGAAGTGTCCGATTTATTTAAATTTCTTGAGGTTGCTTGTTGGTGACCCCAAATCGTTTGTATCATAGTATATGATCATAATAGAATTAAAAATGAGCTTCCTAGTGGAGCCCAAAACAAAATATAAAAAAATACAGCGACGAAAAATCACGCTGATGGAATTGGATGTTCTAAAACAGATAAACAAAATCTCGTGACTTTAGACCTGCACAGAAGACGATACGAAAACATATCGCATGAAAGAAAAAGCTTCAAAGATTTGGAACACTTTCAATGAGAAGAGATGAATGAATTTAGCACCGTTGGATGATATAGACGAAAAGGTGTACTGATATGGAGACCCACTGCAGACTGTCAGACTATAGAAATGTAGTGTTTTAAAAACGACCTACTTGTACGGTAGCCAATGACTTAAACCCTGATTCAAATAGGAAGTTTGGTAACCTGTAGTTACCGCTCCCCCGCTAATTGAATTAGAGGCAACTTCTTACTGACATGTCGATGACTCGTGACACACTAGACGTGACCAAACAACTAAGGCTACTATTGGTGTAGTGATTTCGTCATTAAATCGGCAACGCGAACAAGTCACGGCAGAAAGTGGAGGCGGCGCGCGCATCTTTCGCCAGTGACTACTATATATCGTCTGCTAGCACCCATCCCCTCCCCCTATAGGGTCTCGTGAATCCGCGGCCCCATGCTGTACCCGTTTCAGTCATAGCCTTTTGTAGTAGGCGAGCAGGCTCGGCTAGCTATACCAGAAAACGGGGGCCTCTTGTCATTTGTGAAAAGATTCAAAACCGAGGTGTAGTTAGCGGAGAGCCCACTTCGAAAGCCAAGCAGTGGACGATTAACACCCAGTGGGAAGCCTCCTACTCCTCATCACTCTTCCCCATTTCCCCCTTTGCTTCTCTGAGTCTGAGAGAAAGAAAGATAGAGGTAGACACTGACGGAGTTGGTTGGTAGATCCACTGGCTGAATTGTCGAAGTCTTATTCCTGCCTTTTTGCACTCGGTGAATATCTTCAGTGCCTCTGCTCACAACCATCTCACAGGATTCTTACGGTTGTCACCCTTCCCTATTGTCACAGGTAAGCTTCTTAAGATCATTACGACATAGGTTCGAACATGTATGACTGTTTAATGAGTTAAGTACCATGTAGGCATCATGGCATGCACAACATCATAGTCTGCTACTTGTCTTCTGGGGGGAAGTGAGCAATCAGAAAAATCTAGACCCAAATCTGTTTTCACTTTCTTTCGAGATGCCTTGTAATTGGGGAAGATATTGAACACTTCGCGGTTTGATTGCTACTTCTGAAAAAATCTATTCCCGAAATCGTATCGAAATTGTTTGATTTCAGTCCTACACATTTATATTAAGAGATGCATTATGTCATCATTAGTTCAATATTTTGATATGCAAACTGCCATTGGACGAAGAACTTACAAGATATTATGTAATGCTTTTCATGAAACACGCGTGTTCAAGCGCATGCGTATCGACAGACGTCGCTGAAAGAGTTTGCGTATTCGTTTGCCAAAAATCGAAAGTATTTCACTACAGTTTATCAAATTGTCAAATTTGACTATTGTCGCCTTCAACTTGTAAAGGAAACAAAATTGGTTTCCTATGTTAACTTCTCGTCATGCTTACAGCTGATTGTGACAGTAAACGTCACCTCTTCGAGATTTCATTTGTTATAACTTGGCAAAGATATCTTGTCTAAGTATAGTGTATGCGTCAGAAATGACTTGTGAGGACTTTCGTCTGAAAACCCAGACATTTTTCTTCCAGGACTAATTTTAGAACGTGTATTTCAAAATCTTAAAAGCTGTGTGTACGATCGATGTAATACAATTCTACATTATTCTTTCAATGTCTTAATATAAGTTGCTGTTTCAGAGAGTGTGCAACCACTTTTCAGCTCATTACATTCTGAAAATCAATATTCTGAATTGTTTAAGAAAGATATGTGGACAGATGATGAACCTTATTATTCAACTAAGTAACCAAAGAAAAATGTAATTGCCCATTACAGGAACAATAGTTCTGAGTTTTCATAATAGAATCTGTTTTGAACTTTGCTTGATGAGCATGTCTGTGGCATTGTGTAAATACCATTTTTATTCCGTCGGGCACCACGGGTTAATGTGTACTTAATCCATGTCAGATACAAAATCTTTCTTGCAATTTGACAATTTCCTCTTTTGGGGGTCTAAATGTAAAAATCTAAACCACAATAATTGTCACATTAATATGTCTATACATGTAAATGCTAACAATCCTAATTGAGAGTGTAGGAAACGTTGATGATGTTCAGCTGACTAGCTAATTATAACATCCTATTATTTCTCAAAAACGTTATTCATATCAAATCTCCAGGGGAAACATCAATTTGTTTCATAATATAATTGTAATCGTTATGTCATGATAGCCCGGATACTAACGTGATAATTCAAACCAAGTTGGTCAAGTGAGTTTCAAGGACATTACATATTCTTTAATCTATGATAGATAATAAATTATCTTCAACAATTTGTTTTGGAGTGTTTTCGTTTGTTTGCGTAAGACAACGTATTTGAGAAAGGTCGTCAAATCGCCGTTAATCGTGTTTATTATAACTGATATTGATGAAGTATGCAAATTTAAACTTCAGTGCTATTGTTATACCACTTTAGGACTTGTCATTTATCTTCAGTATCGTACTGTTTGTGTTGGTCTTACTATCTTAGGAAATACGACAAAGTATGGCTCTCTTGTATTTATATACTGTTCAGTAGATGTTTAATATGATCATCGGTGAGAAGAAATTATCAGTGCTGTGTGGTTGTCATTTGAACTCTAAAGTTGTATATAAGAAGGAATCATCATGCTCGATTCCGAGGGAAGTCACTTGATAACTAAATATTTGATATAGGATACAACCTCATGAGTTACTTTTGAAGAAAAATTAAGACAATGCCTTTGCCAAGATAGTAGATATTCAATTTCTGGTGATAATCTAATTGATGTATATTGAAACATTATGATTAATGGGTCGGCAAAGTTTATATCCTACCGTAGTTTCGAGACGAAAATTGATCTATTTAATGCGCGAGATTACGTGGAGTGCCAAATAGACGCTTCTTGCTGTTGATTGCCAAATCCAATTTTACAGATTGTTGTCTGAGCAAGGATCAGGCTAATTGACGCTCTGACTGAAAGAGAAAGTTGAGTTCTGCTGAAGATGGGAAAATAATCTACGAGTTTTCTCATTGTTTGTAAATCATGTGGAAGAAGATGACAAGAAGAAATAGCTGTTCTTCAAGTGCCGTGGCATATCTGAAATATGAAGGAAAGGACGACAGCAACAAGATTTTCGTTGGTTTTGAAATCAAATTTCAGTACGTCCGATTGAAAATCCTGTCATTTTTAAGCGAAGCTTCTTATGTCTTCTTCGAATACATAACTTGTTTATATCTTAATTCGAAGGGTTGGCAAGAAAAGACTTTAGCTGTTGACCACTATCTTTTTTCTTAAAAGTGTATCCTTTCTCTTACATGTTCAACGATGCGAAGAAATCGTCGACTTCAACCTTTGATCAAATTATTGATTATTCTAGTGGATTTTTTTTAGCTGTTGATCATCTCATTCAGATCAATGGATTGGGGGTATTCAGGTGGAGTTAAGAGGAAGAAATAAAAGTGAAGTAATGATATGCAAATTAAATCCGTGATATAAGGGGACTTTTATTGTCCTGATGGCTTTGAAACGTTGGCATCCCTTGTTAAGCTTATACAAACTTGCATTTGAACTACTTTTATAATCAGCTGCTAGGTTGAACAAGATTTACCGCTATACTGTAACGTGACGTTAATTACCAGACGGAAAAAACATCGACTGAAGTAAGACGCCAAACATGCGTCGGCGGTTGCCAATCTAAGGAAGTTGAATTGTTGACACCTGATTAGCGTTTAATTTAGGACTTGAGAATGAGAGTAGAATGGAATTAGAAAGGGGTTAACGACTAACAGTATGCAATGCAAGTTGTTACGTAGGCTATATCAAATTGCCGTATAAATATATGAGAATAGACGGTGAGATCATTCGTCTTCTGGCCAGGATTCAAGTTCAGTTTAATGATTCACTGGATACTCCAAACATTTTTCATTAACAAACCACATCCCAAGAACAAATTATGATAAATGTTTAAATTATTAAATGGGAATATGTTTTATACGGTCTGCTTTACTCCAAACTTGAATAGAGATTTACATGATATTGGTGAAAGAACACAAACACACTTTCCATTCACGTGAATGTGGTAAACGATTTTGATCTTACAATATCATTTAGTGTCGACAATAAACGATATTGCCACAAATATGACTTTATTGGTATATTTGTACTATCTAGGACCGACAGGAATACATCAAAAATCGATTTCTCCAAAATGTGGTCACAAAGTCTCCCTATATATAGCCATAAAATAACCTCATCCTCTGTAAATAGACCCAGTAAAAATAGATCCTGTATTGTTTGTTTTATTTCCGAAAATCATCATAAAAAACAATAACACAATATAACAAAATCAAAGACTTATATAACAATGATAGAATGATAAAACGGTTGGATAGTCCATTTCAGAGCCATTAACCTAATGGCTCTGTTCTTCCATGGAGTCCAATATATATATAATGATACTATAATAAGCAATGATATAACAAAATAGTAAGTCGTAATTAAAAATATTTTTAAAAAAACAACAACATTGTACTCGTACTTAACTTAACTAAATCAAATTAAATTTAATTAAACAAAAAACACTAACAAAAAGCATTAAAATCTATTCAAATATCCCCTACCATCCCTAATTTAACAAAATACGACCCCACCCTTATCACCCACCCTGCTAACAATTAACTTGATTAGTTTTAAAATATTCTACACATTATCTAATTTAGTCTGTTATTAAATTGGTTATGTTTATGGCAAAAGCCAATGGGATTGCGAAATTTAAATATCAAAATAATTGAAGTATTTTTGAACATGTTTATTAAACAAATTTAGTGTGCCTAACTGACGGAGCTTAATAGGTAGTTCATTGTATAACACGGATCCCCGATATAAGAATGTACGTTTACACTGATTGGTTCTTGGTTTCGGAAGCATTAAATTGTCATTATATCTTAGCCCGTAACACTTTTCGTTAAATACAAATGTATCAGTCATATATTTAGGTGCTAGCTCATGAAATGTTTTAAACAGTAACGAACACATATGTCTCCGACGTCGAGATTTTAGGGTTTCCCAATCCAAGGTATCGTGAATCTGCTGAATAGATATATGTTCACCAGGTTTAACCTGAAGAATAATTCTTCCTGCTCGATTCTGAAGTTTCTGAAGTTGATCAAAATGATTATTATTTGCAGTTTGCCAAACAGTATCTGCATAGTCAAAGTGAGGCATAATTACAGATGTATAAATTAGTTTCAGATTTGACTCATTAATAAAATACCTCAATCTCCTCAAGAAACCAATCATTTTCCCAATTTTTTTGTTCAATTGCTCTATATGAATATTCCACTTAAGTTCACAATCTACATTTACTCCAAGATATTTGAAACATTTTACTTGAATTAGCTTAGTGGCATTTATCTCTAAATTGAGAATATCATGCTTAGAAAGCATAAACTTTGTCCCTAAAAGCATGCATACTGTTTTACTGGAGTTCACAAGATTGTAGATGTCCTAGCTCTTCGTTTAAAACTGATTGAATCACATCTACATCTTTGTGGGAATAATACATAACCGTGTCGTCGGCATAAAAGTGCAAATTGCATTTCGTGAAAGACCTAGGCAGATCGTTTATACAAATTAAAAATAGCAGTGGCCCCAGTATTGAACCCTGAGGTACGCCGTAATCAAGGGATAATTCCTCTGACAATGTTTGTCCTATGGAAGTTCTAATACGTCTTTTCATTAGATAATCCTGAAACCATCTTAATGAGGTACCTTGTACTCCAATATCATAAAGTTTTTTAATTAGAATTTGGTGATTGACAGTATCAAATGCCTTATGTAAATCGACAAAGACACACCCAGTAT